CAACCATCTCCAGTACAACCATAGCGCCGTCTTGTAACTTACAACCATCTCCAGTAAAACCATAGCTTGTAACTTAAGCAGCATAGGTAACTTAACTTACAACCATCTCCAGTACAACCATAGCTCGCCTTTGTAACTTACAACCATCTCCAGTATAACCATCTCCGTAACTTACAACCATAGCATAGCTCGTCTTGTAACTTACAACCATCTCCAGTACAACCATATAGCTCGCCTTGTAACTTACAACCATCTCCAGTAAAACCATGCCGTGTAACTTACAACCATCTCCAGTAAACCATAGCGCCGCCTTGTAACTTACAACCATCTCCAGTACAACCATAGCGCTGTCGTAACTGTAACAACCATCTCCAGTAAAACCATAGCGCCGTCTTGTAACTTACAACCATCTCCAGTACAACCATAGCCGTCCTGTAACTTACAACCATCTCCAGTAAAACCATAGTGCCGTCTTGTACAACCATCTCCAGTACAACCATAGCTCCAGTAACTTACAACCATAGCGCCGTATTGTAACTTACAACCATCTCCAGTAAAACCATAGCGCCGTCGTGTAACTTACAACCATCTCCAGTAAAACCATAGCGCCGTCGTGTAACTTACAACCATCTCCAGTACAACCATAGCGCCGTCTTGTAACTAACAACCATATCCAGTAATGCATAGCGCCGTCGTGTAACTTACAACTATCTCCAGTAAGGCCATAGCGCCGTCGTGTAACTTACAACTATCTCCAGTAAGGCCATAGAGCCGTTGTGTAACTTACAACCATCTCCAGTACAACCATAGCGCCGTCTTGTAACTTACAACCATCTCCAGTACAACCATAGCGCCGTCGTGTAACTTACAACCATCTCCAGTAAAACCATAGCGCCGTCGTGTAACTTACAACCATCTCCAGTACAACCATAGCGCCGTCGTGTTACTTACAACCATCTCCAGTACAACCATAGCGCCGTCCTGTAACTAACAACCATCTCCAGTAAAACGATAGCGCCGTCGTGTAACTTACAACCATAGCGCCGTATTGTAACTTACAACCATCTCCAGAAAAACCATCGCGCCGTCGTGTAACTTACAACCATCTCCAGTAAAACCATAGCGCCGTCTTGTAACTTACAACAATCTCCAGTAAAACCATAGCGCCGTCTTGTAACTTACTGTGACTCTAGCTATTTCTGTCCAGTGTATACAGATATTGGCATAAAAAATGTGTCACTTCTCCATGCCGCCCCCAGTCATACTGTTAGTCTCGAATATATATAATTTTGATGGTAACCAATAAACCCATTTAAATTGAAAAGGAGCCCCAGTGAGTTGGGAAATCCTGAAACTGGGGAAATCTTGACTTGTTTCATTTAGGGCTTTAGCATTTCAGGGAAGGCTAGGCAGTAGGGAAAATAATGTGGTTCAGGGACTGTGAGACAGACTATCACGCTGTGTACCCGGTTTAGAAGGTATGTGTGTGTTTAGTTGATATAAGGCGATGTATCAACATAGGAACCAAGTGCCAAAATCCGACATTGATTTTTCAATTAAGAAAAACAGACCCGCCAATACAGAACATCAGGTGTACGGGCACCTGCTCTTATTAACATCCGAACTTGAATCATTACAACCCCGCGTCTGTAAACATCTACACTGTAGGGATATGATGGGGCTATTGATGGAGCTGGGCATTATCAGCAGCACCACCAAATACCAGGGGAATGTTCTGTGAACTTACTGACCCTTTAACGGAAGAAAGTCTCTGCAAGTCGCCAAAACGTTTGTTTACAAGAAGAACAAACCAGATAAACTGCTCCTCCTGAACTCAATGAATGAGAAAGCACGTGGCTAGATAACCAGGGTGTCGGATTCTACTTACTATATCTCCGGCTTTGCGCACCGGCGACCATGAAGTTGTGCGAGGTTCACCAAGTGAGTTCAAATGATGCTCAGCATCGCCATGTTTCGGCCGGTCACGACTGTATCATTCTATACAGTGTCTTTAACCCGTGAAGATCCGAGTTAGAATTGATCTTCGGTAACACATGCTTGTCGTAAGAGACGACCAACGGGATCGGGTGGTCAGGCTCACTGACTTGGTTGACACATGTCATCGTATCACAATTGGGTAGATCGATGCTCATGTTGTTGATCAGTGAATTGTCTGGTCTAGATTCGATTATTTACAGACCGCTGCCATATAGCTAAAATATTGCTGAGTGCAGCGTAAAACTAAACTCACTCACATCCACTCGCTTTAATACAAAGCACATGAATAGGCTATCAAATCCCTTAAGACCGGAAAATCCCCGGGTTCTGACGGAATACCACGTGAGTTTTTAAAAAATGCAAATTTCATTATTCCATACTTAGAATTATTGTTTAACGCTGTATTAGACACTGGTGTATTTCCAGACAACTGGAACATCGGTATGATTATACCATTGTATAAGAAAGGTAATAAGAATGACCCGAATAATTATCGTGGCATATCATTGTTGAATGTGATGGGTAAAATTTTCACTTCTATCCTTGACTCCAGAATTCGTATCTGGATGGAATTGCATGAGATTTTACATGAGTGTCAAGCAGGATTTAGAGCTGACTATTCAACAGTCGATAACATATTTGTCCTTCAATCTCTATGCCAAAAATATCTAAGAAAACCCAAACATCGATTTTATGCAGCTTTTATTGACTTTAGAAAAGCCTTTGATTTTGTAAATAGAAATAAGTTTTTTATATGTACTCCTCACCAAAGGTGTCCATGGTAAAATGTTCAAGTTGCTGAAAGATATGTATGACAAGGTATCAGCTTGTGTTAAAGTTGGAAATAAGAGATCTGAAATCTTTAACACATCATCTGGGGTAAAGCAAGGTTGCATGCTTAGCCCAGCTCTGTTTATACTTTTTATCAACGAGCTTGTGGATGAAATGAATAACTGTGGATTAAGAGGAATATTTGTCAAAGATGGTTTAAATGATATTCTATTACTGCTTTTTTGCAGATGATGTTACCTTGCTTGATGACACTGTTATTGGTTTACAAAGAAAACTTGATACATTGAATCGTTTTTGCTCAAAATGGGGTTTAGAAGTTAATCTTGACAAATCTTGTATAGTAGTATTTAGAAATGGTGGATATCTTAAGAAATCAGAAAAATGGTTCTATAATGGAAACCAAATGAATGTTGTATCACCTTCCCGTCAAGATTAAAATTTAAACAACTTTTAACAGCAACAAATGCACATCTATTGAAGTCAATAGCATTATTTCTAAAGCGTAACTTGCCTGTATGAAAATGAACTAATTTCATTGTTTTTGTCTGTCCATCCGCACAATATTGTTATTATATGTTTGTACTCTTGGCCACGTGGCCTCAAATACTGAATAAACTTCTTCTTCTTGAACTGGCAAACAAATAATAAACAGATTGGTGACCTGATGGAAACAGATATGGAAAACGGTAGCTACAAGGGAAGTCCAATAACAAATACAAGACTTAGTATTGACTCATATTAACTGGAGATTCAAAGATGCGGCATACGAGTACACAGATAGGCAAATAGATAGGCAGGTTTCCATGGACACAAGGACAGGCAGATAAATACAGGGTGATTCAAACGTACGTTCTTTACGATCCCAAGTTCTCCAGGGCAAAGATGGCTCGCGTTAGTATTTGTCCTTCGTACTATGTGTTTGGGGGATCCTATACTAACATCTAAAGGGTTTTAACAGAAAAAGCATTGGAGTTGTATAACTCCGTTGTGTAACAATCACAATCACAGATTCATCTCACTTAACACCACTCTACATGTCAATACATGGCACTTATCTGACATGATGGTAGGGGCAGGTGAAGAAGACAGAGAGGCACACAGGAAGCGGAAGACATGAAGATAGGCAGATGAGACATGTAGGCAGATGAGACATGTAGGCAGATGACAAATGTAGGCAGATGAGACATTTAGGCAGATGAGACAGATAGGCAGATGAGACATGGAGGCAGAGACACATGTAGGCAGATGAGACAGGTAGGCAGATGTGACAGGTAGGCAGATGAGACATAGAGAGGCACACAGGAAGCGGAAGACATATGAAGATAGGCAGATGGCACATGTAGGCAGATGAGACATAGATAGGTACACAGCAAGGCAGATGAGACATAGAGAGGTACACAGGTAGGCAGATGAGGCATAGAGAGGTACACAGCAAGGTAGATGAGACACAGAGAGGTACACACGTGGGCAGGAAGGCAGATGAGACATAGAGAGGCACACAGGTAGGCAGATGAGGCATAGAGAGGTACACAGCAAGGCAGATGAGACACAGAGAGGTACACAGGTAGGCAGATGAGACATAGAGAGGTACACAGATGGGCAGATGAGACATAGAGAGGCACGCAGGTAGGCAAGTAGGCAGATGAGACCTAGAGAGGCACGAGGGTAGGCATGTAGGCAGATGAGACCTAGAGAGGTACACAGTTAGGCAGATGAGACATAGAGAAGCACACAGGTAGTCAGATGACACATAGAGAGGAACACAGGTAGGCAGATGAGACATAGAGAGGCACGCAGGCAGGTAAGTAGGCAGATGAGACATAGAGAGGTACACAGTTAGGCAGATGAGACATAGAGAAGCACACAGGTAGACAGATGACACATAGAGAGGCACACAGGTAGGCAGATGACACATAGAGACTCACACGGATAGGCAAGTACGAGGGTGATACATGTGTAGTACACAGCAGGTACGGAGATATCTCATAGACAAAAGTACCACAGAAGACTATCTTGACTAAACTAGGTGTTATTCACAATTATCTGGGTGATACCGGACATAATGGCTTTCCACATCGCATGTAGGTTGATCCATACAAACTTATGACATACAAATACATGCTGGTTATGACGTCAGTAAATGACATTACCAACACGTCGCTGAACGCAAGAAGTCGTCTCACCTTCAGTGCTGCCCAGGCCAATAAAGGTTATTTACTTGTCTCCCGAGCAATAGCGAGGTCTGGTGGTACAGTGGACGGCTGTCGGTTCAAAGCAACTTGCGCTGGTGCATCTGGCGCTGCTGGAAAATGACATCAAACATATACTATTCCTGACAATGAGGGAGTGAGTGAGTTTAGTTTTACGCCGCACTCAGCAATATTTCAGCTATATGGCGGCGGTCTGTAAATCATCGTCTGAACCAGACAATCCGGTGATCAACAGCATGAACATCGATCTACGAAATTGGGATACAGTGACATGTGTCAACCAAGTCAGCAAGCCCGTTAGTCGCCTCTTGCGACAAGCATGGGTTACTGAACATCAATTCTAGCCCGGATCTTCACGGGTCCTGACAATGACTTGAAGATCACCGCCTAGTTATGTGGGCGTGGCTTGAACGAACGAAACCGCGGCCACAATACCTAAACTCGCTAGAAGGTCACCGTTTTCGGCGTCTTATTTTGTTGAGCTGATGTTTCTACCATTATTGAACCAGGTTAGTGTTCTTTCATTTGATTCTAACCCAGGATTTCATTTTGGACATTTCGAACTTTTAACAAGTTAGACTCCCACAACTAGACGTCACGACGGATATCATAGAAACATAATGTTCAAATCCTGATCTGTAAAAACTGTGGGGGTCATTTAGACAAAAAGTAGACTTCCCCACATTACAAACTGGTCTCGGGCCGGTGGGGTAGCCTGATGGTTAAAGCTTCCGCTCGTCACGCTGAAGACACGGGTTCGATTCCCCACATGGGTACAATGTGTGGAGCCCATTTCTGGTGTCCACCGCCATGATATTGCTGGAATATTGCTAAAATTATTCTCACTTACTCAACTGTGTCTCTCTCTCTTCTGTTTCTTTATGCATATGAATCGGAAATTCTGCGCGGAGAGGCAATGTAGAAGTAAGTTAATTTGAAGACGAAGTTAGACTTGTTAATAATCTTTGGGTATATCGGTTATCTGATAACCATCACCGTTCAACTTCCATGACAGAAGTTGTCCAGACAAGACAAGATGGCATTCTGTTCGTAACCAGCGATATTTATTGTTCAGAGCCGGTGGAAATTATGTTGATCCGGACCCAGTTCTGCAGACAATTAGTCTCATTGGGAAGACCAGAGCAGTTAGGAGAGTCGTGGATGCTGACATTATGGAGCAAGGTGAATGGGGTAAGATAGAGCTCCCCCAAGGGTGGTCAATTAGCTAACGTATTGTTTGCTCTTATAAGTAGATTGTAGCCTTCACACACGTAGGTCATGATGAGTGTAGGAAGCTGTAGATTGTAGCCTTGACACATGTAGAATCATGATGAGTGTTGGAAGCTGTAGATTGTAGCCTTGACACATGTAGAATCATGATGAGTGTGGGAAGCTGTAGATTGTAGCCTTGAGTGAGTGAGTGAGTTTGGTTTTACGCCGCTTTTAGCAATATTCCAGCAATATCACGGCGGGGGACACTAGAAATGGGCTTAACACATTGTACCCATATGGGGAATCGAACCCGGGTCTTCGGCGTGACGAGCGAACGCCTTAACCACTAGGCTACCCCACCGCCCCTTGTAGCCTTGACACATGTAGAATCATGATGAGTGTGGGAAGCTGTAGATTGTAGCCTTGACACACGTAGACTCATGATGAGTGTGGGAAGCTGTAGATTGTAGCCTTGACACACGTAGAATCATGATGAGTGAGAGCAGCTGTAGATTGTAGCCTTGACACACGTAGAATCATGATGAGTGTGGGAAGCTGTAGATTGTAGCCTTGACACATGTAGGTCATGATGAGTGTAGGAAGCTGTAGATTGTAGCCTTGACACACGTAGAATCATGATGAGTGTGGGAAGCTGTAGATTGTAGCCTTGAGTGAGTGAGTGAGTTTGGTTTTACGCCGCTTTTAGCAATATTCCAGCAATATCACGGCGGGGGACACCAGAAATGGGCTTAACACATTGTACCCATGTGGGGAATCGAACCCGGGTCTTCGGCGTGACGAGCGAACGCCTTAACCACTAGGCTACCCCACCGCCCCTTGTAGCCTTGACACATGTAGAATCATGATGAGTGTGGGAAGCTGTAGATTGTAGCCTTGACACACGTAGACTCATGATGAGTGAGAGCAGCTGTAGATTGTAGCCTTGACACACGTAGAATTATGATGAGTGTGGGAAGCTGTAGATTGTAGCCTTGACACACGTAGAATCATGATGAGTGTGGGAAGCTGTAGATTGTAGCCTTGACACACGTAGAATCATGATGAGTGAGAGCAGCTGTAGATTGTAGCCTTGACACACGTAGAATCATGATGAGTGTGGGAAGCTGTAGATTGTAGCCTTGACACACGTAGACTCATGATGAGTGTTGGAAGCTGTAGATTGTAGCCTTGACACATGTAGACTCATGATGAGTGTGGGAAGCTGTAGATTGTAGCCTTGACACACGTAGAATCACGATGAGTGAGAGCAGCTGTAGATTGTAGCCTTGACACACGTAGAATCATGATGAGTGTGGGAAGCTGTAGATTGTAGCCTTGACACACGTAGACTCATGATGAGTGTGGGAAGCTGTAGATTGTAGCCTTGACACACGTAGAATCATGATGAGTGAGAGCAGCTGTAGATTGTAGCCTTGACACACGTAGAATCATGATGAGTGTGGGAAGCTGTAGATTGTAGCCTTGACACACGTAGAATCATGATGAGTGTAGGAAGCTGTAGATTGTAGCCTTGACACATGTAGAATCATGATGAGTGTGGGAAGCTGTAGATTGTAGCCTTGACACACGTAGGTCATGATGAGTGTAGGAAGCTGTAGATTGTAGCCTTGACACATGTAGAATCATGATGAGTGTTGGAAGCTGTAGATTGTAGCCTTGACACATGTAGAATCATGATGATGAGTGTGGGAAGCTGTAGATTGTAGCCTTGACACATGTAGGTCATGATGAGTGTAGGAAGCTGTAGATTGTAGCCTTGACACACGTAGAATCATGATGAGTGTGGGAAGCTGTAGATTGTAGCCTTGACACACGTAGAATCATGATGAGTGTAGGAAGCTGTAGATTGTAGCCTTGACACATGTAGAATCATGATGAGTGTGGGAAGCTGTAGATTGTAGCCTTGACACACGTAGGTCATGATGAGTGTAGGAAGCTGTAGATTGTAGCCTTGACACATGTAGAATCATGATGAGTGTTGGAAGCTGTAGATTGTAGCCTTGACACATGTAGGTCATGATGAGTGTAGGAAGCTGTAGATTGTAGCCTTGACACATGTAGAATCATGATGAGTGTTGGAAGCTGTAGATTGTAGCCTTGACACATGTAGAATCATGATGAGTGTTGGAAGCTGTAGATTGTAGCCTTGACACATGTAGAATCATGATGAGTGTTGGAAGCTGTAGATTGTAGCCTTGACACACGTAGAATCATGATGAGTGTGGGAAGCTGGACTGCAGTAGACAGGAGACAGGGTACCCCAGTGCTGGGCGTCAGGAGGATGGTACTGTCTGGTTGATGTACTTCATCTCATTAAGCATAGTGGAGCTGCTTGTCAGTTAATGTGATGAGGTGATAACACACTGGGACATGGAATTGATGTGAGACCTCAGATACAGCCGACTGTGTAGATACGGGGAACACTGCGAAGATTTTGGGGAACAATGTGGAAAATGAACTGAACGTTGTCAAGATGCGCTGAACACTGAATGCGCTTAAGGCTGTGAAAAATGCACTGAAGGCTGTGAAAAATGCACTGAAGGCTGTGAAAAATGCGCTTAACGCTGTAAAAATTGCGCTGAAGGCCGTGAAGATGCAATGATTCAGTGTTCTGTGTGCAAGAATCGCACCGGGAAGCCTTTCAGATAAAGATCTTTGACATGTACTGCTAGTGACAAATGACGATAAAGGTATGGCATTTAGATGAATTAATTATCTGTTACCTATTAGTTTAGCTTTATTCAGTGTCCATAGAAACGATAAAGAAGTACAATCTCCAAAGAATATGCTTGTCCGTTGTCTAAACTTCATAAAAGATCTCTTTAAGTTAAGCTAAAAAAAGGCCTCCGATTCTATCAGTAACTTGCAAACTTTATTACTTAGTGTCCCCACCCAGCAATGACTGTTATTTAAAAATCCTATATGAAGCAAGTCAAAGTTTTCCCCAGTTTCAGGTTCTTAATCTCACACCTTGGGCTTCTTTCCCATTTAAATGGAGTATATTTTATCTCTTTCAAAATTATGCATTTTCAGAGACTAAGTGTTAATCCCGAGGAATGCCCTCACCCAGGCGTTCACCCATACATGAGACTGAGTTTGTTGCTATGGACGGCGCCGGTCGGCTATGTCTGATAGTTGATATTACCATGTTTACGGTTACAGACGTGACCAGACAACAAACGGCACATACAAAGCAGCCAGGTGGATGACTCAATTAGTAATTAATAAAATGCCCGAACACACACTCAGTCTAGGAGGGAAATACAATAAATTCCTCGGCCTTTGGGGCTTCTGCGAAAACATGGATGGGGGCTTTGCCAACTTCACCGTGGAGGTAATCCGAACTGTATCAACAACGGTGGCTCGTGTTGCCAGCAACAGCAGCGGCAACCTCCACGGCGACCTACTGTCTGAACACACGCCGACTGGGCGATGATCCAGCAGAAATGGAAACTGCAGTCTTGTCAATGGAACCTGTAAATACCCAACAGCTAAAACTGCGAAAACTATACAGCAAATGATTTACGTCATGGAAGGAAGTAGGAAAACAGTTGCGGCCGTAGTAATATTTGCACAAGGGGCGTCATCCCACACGTAATCAACCATTGAACCTTAGGTGCAGCAACCACACAGGCAATATCTACATATCCACGACTAGCATGTCCCTGTCCCACCGTCACGTACATTGAAGCTTAGGTGCAGCACCCACACAGGCAATATCTACATATCCACCACTAGCATGTCCCTGTCCCACCGTCACGTACATTGAACCTTAGGTGCAGCAACCACACAGGCAATATCTACATATCCACAACTAGCATGTCCCTGTCCCACCGTCACGTACATTGAACCTTAGGTGCAGCAACCACACAGGTAGTATCTACATATCCACCACTAGCATGTCCCTGCCTCACCGTCACGTACATTACCCATCGCACTATTTCACTACCAGTCCACCATTTACATCATTTACTCATCCATCTATCCATCCATCCATCCATCTATCCATCTATAACGAATCAATGACAAATCAACTACGCACGTACAATAAAACAATCAGATTACAACCCCGCTGTAGTAAGTGAGTATGGTTTTACGCCGTTTTAGCACTATTCCACCAATATCACGGCGGGAGACACCACAAATGGGCTTCACACATGTAAGGAATCGAACCAGCGTCTTCGGCGTGACGAGCGGACGCTTTAACCACTAGGCTATCACACCGCACCCAATCCATCCGCAATGTTGTTTTAAGACTCAAGTTTACCAATATATTCTGCTCTTAAACAACATATACTCATTGAATGTATAATGTATTACAAATGATTCCGTTGGCTGATCGAGCTATGTATTTTGCATTCAACTTTTCCTTAACGAAAACACAACTGACTGATGTTTCCTGATTAGTTGATGGTAGAATGCTGGATTAATCCGCTGACCGAGGTCACTCAGTGTTATGTTTTCTACAATTTTGTGTGCGCAAACAATTAAAGGAGCATTTTGTGAAGTTATTATTGACGACACAGTTGAATTTGTCTACAATAACTGACCATAATATAGTGGCATTCAAGAATTAGGTGAGTAAACACAAAACATACAACTTCATGGGTAACAACCTCTGACTTAATTGTTTGATCGCCATTGTGAATGTCGGTGAGTCAACTTGGAAGCATAAGGCTTTATGGATAAGAACTTCTTGTTTATTACATGGAGCGACGTTTCGGTGTAGATTCTTATACCGTTATCAAGTGACCTTTAGCTTGATGTAATAAACAAGACGTTGTTATCCATAAAGTTCATTCTTCATTATTAACTTCTGACTTAAAACATTAAACGACATCACGTACGGGTGTAGATAGACCGTTGTCAAGCAGGGCTGGCTACAACCTAGTCTGTCTCACAGTCCCTGAACCACATTAATTTCCCTACTGCCAAGCCCTCTCTGCAGTGCTAAAGCCCTAAATAAAGCAAGTCTAGATTTCCTCAGGTTCAGGAATCTCTGGTCTCCCTAGGGCTCCTTTTCAATATAAATGGGCTTGTTTGTTACTATCAAAATTATATATATTCAGAGACTAAGCCTTAGTCTAGCTACAACCAAGCGATGAGGGGCACAGGATATGTCGTGACTAGCAGCAGATTAACATTAACAACTACAGATAATGGATAACAATAGCACACAGATGTTTGGAGTAAGAATAACAAATAGCACACAGATGTTTGGAGTAAGAATAACAAATAGCACACATGTATTGAAGCCATATAAGGAGTGAGTATGGTTTGACGCCGCTTTTAGCAACCTCACGGCGGGGGACACCCGCCATATACGGAACAGAAGGTTGAAGCTGATTGGCTAACGACTAAAAAAGTCGAATAAGCTGATAGGATACTATCTTTAATAGGTGTCCATTGCTTGATTAGGTCTTTAGCTGGCATGTAAATATACATGTATGTAATATTAACTATATCTGGATATGTTTTAAAGTGGAGTTTATTATAGCTATTGTCTGAAGTATTGCCTGGGTGATTGTCTGGGATGTTGTCTGGGATGTTATCAGGGAGATTGTCTGGGATGTTGTCTGGGATGTTGTCTGGGAGATTGTCTGGGATGTTGTCTGGGATGTTGTCAGGGAGATTGTCTGGGATGTTGTCTGGGATGTTGTCTGGGAGATTGTCTGGGATGTTGTCAGGGAGATTGTCTGGGATGTTGTCTGGGATGTTGTCTGGGAGGTTGTCTGGGATGTTGTCATGGATGTTGTCTGGGAGATTGTCTTGGAGGTTGTCTGGGATGTTGTCTGGGATGTTGTCATGGATGTTGTCTGGGAGATTGTCTGGGATGTTGTCAGGGTGATTGTCTGGGATGTTGTCAGGGTGATTGTCTGGGATGTTGTCTGGGAGGTTGTCTGGGAGGTTGTCTGGGATGTTGTCTGGGATGTTGTCTGGGATGTTGTCATGGATGTTGTCTGGGAGATTGTCTGGGAGATTGTCTGGGATGTTGTCTGGGAGATTGTCTGGGAGATTGTCTGGGATGTTGTCAGGGTGATTGTCTGGGATGTTGTCTGGGAGGTTGTCTGGGAGGTTGTCTGGGATGTTGTCTGGGATGTTGTCTGGGATGTTGTCTGGGATGTTGTCTTGGAGATTGTCTTGGAGATTGTCTGGGATGTTGTCTGGGAGCTTGTCACCTTCATGTCTTGAGCGATGTCATATCTGTGTTGTATTTTCTGGGGTATTGGCATACCTTAAGATAGTCACATCAATGTCTACATTGTCTGGAGTATTGTCACATCAATGTCTACATTGCGTGAGTATTGTCACATTGATGTCTACATTGTCTGGAGTTGTCATATCGATGCCTACATTGTCTGGAGTATTGTCAAATCGATGCCTACATTGTCTGGAGTCCTGTCACGTCGATGCCTACATTGTCTGGAGTCCTGTCACGTCGATGCCTACATTGTCTGGAGTCCTGTCACGTCGATGCCTACATTGTCTGGAGTATTGTCACATTGATGTCTACATTGTCTGGAGTTGTCACATCGATACCTACATTGTCTGGAGTATTGTCATATCGATGCCTACATTGTCTGGAGTATTGTCAAGTCGATGCCTACATTGTCTGGAGTCCTGTCACGTCGATGCCTACATTGTCTGGAGTCCTGTCACGTCGATGCCTACATTGCCTGGAGTCCTGTCACGTCGATGCCTACATTGTCTGGAGTCCTGTCACGTCGATGCCTACATTGTCTGGAGTCCTGTCACGTCGATGCCTACATTGTCTGGAGTCCTGTCACGTCGATGCCTACATTGTCTGGAGTCCTGTCACGTCGATGCCTACATTGTCTGGAGTCCTGTCACGTCGATGCCTACATTGTCTGGAGTCCTGTCACGTCGATGCCTACATTGTCTGGAGTCCTGTCACGTCGATGCCTACGTTGTCTGGAGTCCTGTCACGTCGATGCCTACATTGTCTGGAGTCCTGTCCCGTCGATGCCTACATTGTCTGGAGTCCTGTCACGTCGATGCCTACACTGTCTGGAGTCCTGTCACGTCGATGCCTACACTGCCTGGAGTCCTGTCACGTCGATGCCTACACTGCCTGGAGTACTGTCACGTCGATGCCTACACTGCCTGGAGTACTGTCACGTCGATGCCTACACTGCCTGGAGTACTGTCACGTCGATGCCTACACTGTCTGGAGTACTGTCACGTCGATGCCTACACTGTCTGGAGTACTGTCACATCGATGCCTACACTGTCTGGAGTATTGTCACATCGATGCCTACATTGTCTGGAGTATTGTAACATCAATGCCTACACTGTCTGGACTATTGTCACATCAATGCCTACACTGTCTGGAGTATTGTCACATCAATGCCTACATTGTCTGATGTATTATCAATTCAATGCCTACATTGTCTGGAGTATTATCAAATCAATGTCTGCATTGACCGGGGTATATTGTCATATCCATGTGGTATTGTCTCTTCGTAAGGCGCCATGCTCCACCAACAGCATCGTTCTACCATGCACTTCGTCCATCCCTCTGCGTTCAGTGCGAGATCTTGTGCTCTCTGCAATATCAGTAATCAGGGGCCGGAGAGTGCGTTAACCAAATGGCCTTCGTGTATTTCGGGAAACGGGGATTTATCTCTGGACTGGAACCTACAATCAAATCTTTTTTCATGTCCAAATTAACTGCAGCAACAGTTGATTGTAATGGACTCGTTTCGAGATCTGCAACCCCTACAGCAAATCAATACAGGCCGTGTTTGTAATTCCGTGTGACGTAGTAGATCAGGCTGTTAATACATATTAACGTGATACAGATTAGAAACGTATGTGGTTCAATATAACACGAGCATACATCAGACTCGTAGTGGTATCGTGAACACAAAGACTGACGTTTGGAAACCAACATATTATAATTGCATCATACAGCGGGTATACGATGATCTGTATGGCAATAACCAAACATATTGCATCATACATACACCCAACATATAGCATACAACAGCCGGTATAGGTGGTCAGTATAACATACACCGAACATATAGCTTACAACAGCCGGTATAGGTGTTCAGTGTAACATACACCAAACAAATAGCATACAACAGCCGGTATAGGTGGTCAGTATAACATACACCCAACAAATAGCATACAACAGCCGGTATAGGTGTTCAGTGTAACATACACCCAACATATAGCATACAACAGCCGGTATAGGTGTTCAGTATAACATACACCCAACAAATAGCATACAACAGCCGGTATAGGTGTTCAGTGTAACATATACAACATATAGCCAACATATAGGTGGTCAGGTACAACATACACCCAGCATATACAACAGCCGGTATAGGTGGTCAGTACAACATACACCCAACATATAGCATACAACAGCCGGTATAGGTGTTCAGTATAACATACACCCAACATATAGCATACAACAGCCGGTATAGGTGTTCAGTGTAACATAACATACAACAGCCAACAGTGTAACATATAGCATACAACAGCCGGTATAGGTGTTCAGTGTAACATACACCCAACATATAGCATACAACAGCCGGTATAGGTGTTCAGTGTAACATACACGGTATAGGTGTTCCAACATACAGCATACAACAGCCGGTATAGGTGTTCAGTGTAACATACACCCAACATACACCCAGCATATAGCATACAACAGCCGGTATAGGTGTTCAGTGTAACATACACCCAACATATAGCATACAACAGCCGGTATAGGTGGGTGTAAGGTACACCCAACATGTAACATACATACAACAGCCGGTATAGGTGGTCAGTGTAACATACACCCAACATATAGCATACAACAGCCGGTATAGGGTCAGTGTAACATACACCCAACATATAGCATACAACAGCCGGTATAGGTGGTCAGTAACATACACCCAACATATAGCCAGCCGGTATAGGTGTTCAGTATAACATACACCCAACATATAGCATACAACAGCCGGTATAGGTGTTCAGTATAACAGACACCAAACATAGCATACAACCAACATATAGCATATAGCATACAACAGCCGGTATAGGTGGTCAGTATAACATACACAACACAGCCGGTATAGCATAACAACAGCAACGGTATAGGTGTTCAGTATAACATACACCCAACATATAGCATACAACAGCCGGTATAGGTGTTCAGTGTAACATACACCCAACATATAGCATACAACAGCCGGTATAGGTGTTCAGTGTAACATACACCCAACATATAGCATACAACAGCCGGTATAGGTGTTCAGTGTAACATACACCCAACATATAGCATACAACAGCCGGTATAGGTGTTCAGTGTAACATACACCCAACATATAGCATACAACAGCCGGTATAGGTGGTCAGTGTAACATACACCCAACATATAGCATACAACAGCCGGTATAGGTGTTCAGTGTAACATACACCCAACATACATACAACATATAGCATACAACACCCAACATATAGCATAGCCGGTATAGGTGTTCAGTGTAACATACACCCAACATATAGCATACAACAGCCGGTATAGGTGTTCAACATACACCCAACATATAGCATACAACAGCCGGTATAGGTGTTCAGTGTAACATACACCCAACATATATACAACAGCCGGTACAGTATAACATACACCCAACATATACATACAACAGCCGGTATAGGTGTTCAGTGTAACATACACCCAACATATAGCATACAACAGCCGGTATAGGTGGTCAGTGTAACATACACCCAACAAATAGCATACAACAGCCGGTATAGGTGTTCAGTGTAACATACACCCAACATATAGCATACAACAGCCGGTATAGGTGTTCAGTATAACATACACCCAACATATAGCATACAACAGCCGGTATAGGTGTTCAGTATAACATACACCCAACATATAGCATACAACAGCCGGTATAGGTGTTCAGTGTAACATACACCCAACATATAGCATACAACAGCCGGTATAGGTGTTCAGTGTAACATACACCCAACATATAGCATACAACAGCCGGTATGGGTGTTCAGTGTAACATACACCCAACATATAGCATACAACAGCCGGTATAGGGTGTGTAACATACACCCAACATATCAGTGTAACATACACCCAACATATAGCATACAACAGCCGGTATAGGTGGTCAGTGTAACGTACACCCAACATGTAGCATACAACAGCCGGTAGGTGTCAGTGTAACATACACCCAACATATAGCATACAACAGCCGGTATAGGTGGTCAGTGTAACATACACCCAACAAATAGCATACAACAGCCGGTATAGGTGGTCAGTGTAACATACACCCAACAAATAGCATACAACAGCCGGTATAGGTGTTCAGTATAACATACACCCAACATATAGCATACAACAGCCGGTATGGGTGTTCGGTATAGGTGTTCAGTATAACAGACACCAAACATATAGCATACAACAGCCGGTATAGGTGTTCAGTATAACATACACCCAACATATAGCATACAACAGCCGGTATAGGTGTTCAGTGTAACATACACCCAACATATAGCATACAACAGCCGGTATAGGTGGTCAGTGTAACATACACCCAACAAATAGCATACAACAGCCGGTATAGGTGTTCAGTATAACATACACCCAACATATAGCATACAACAGCCGGTATAGGTGTTCAGTATAACATACACCCAACATATAGCATACAACAGCCGGTATAGGTGGTCAGTGTAACATACACCCAACAAATAGCATACAACAGCCGGTATAGGTGGTCAGTATAACATACACCCAACATATAGCATACAACAGCCGGTATAGGTGTTCAGTGTAACATACACCCAACATATAGCATACAACAGCCGGTATAGGTGGTCAGTGTAACATACACCCAACAAATAGCATACAACAGCCGGTATAGGTGTTCAGTGTAACATACACCCAACATATAGCATACAACAGCCGGTATAGGTGTTCAGTATAACATACACCCAACATATAGCATACAACAGCCGGTATAGGTGGTCAGTATAACATACACCCAACATATAGCATACAACAGCCGGTATAAGTGTTCAGTATAACATACACTAAACACAGGTGTTGCGATACTTTGTTCCATGTGTATATAGCCTCTGGTTTCAACATTATCAAATTGCAAAATGGAAAGCGAATCTCAACAGTTCAATAAATATAAACTCATGGGCAAAAACAGTAAAACAGAAACAACACAAGATTTGGATTATGTAATAGATGTAATTTGTAGCAATTTCATTTGCACTTTGCTGTGTGTACAAATCATGACCTGGTTGAAAGAACTGAAAGGTGACATTGACATTCAAACAGTCAGGGGGTAAATACCAAAGTTACAATTATATTCCTTTGACGAATTGCGCACACAAAAGACAGAAAAGTTTGTTCCAGAACGATCACAACGTCAGTAGCGTGTGTGTCCGCCAACAGCCGCGATGCACGCTCGTGCACGTCGTCGCATCGATGACGTCAAGCGTCGGATGACGTCATTTGGCAGTCGCTGCCATTCGTTCCTCAGTGCCACTTCCAACTCTTGTCTTGTCTGTGGAGGGTGATGACGACCACGAATTTGTCTTCCTAAATGGTCCCACAAATGCTCGATCGGATTCCTATCTGGTGATCGAGAAGGCCAGGGTAGAACATTAACGTTATTCTGATGAAGAAAGTTTCTCGTCGCTATTGCTGTATGGGGAGTTGCATTGTCTTGCTGAAACAATACACCATTTGGTTGATTGTTCAAGAAAGGTAAGAGAACAGACTGCAAGACTTGATTTCGGTACTCATTAGCATTGAGATTCCCCTGAATAACGACCAAGGGTGTCGTTTGGTCGCCAATAATGCCACCCCATACCATCACACCACCGCCACCATAGGCATGGACTTCCTGAATGCATGCTGCTGCAAAACGTTCACGCCGTCGCCTGTAAACTCTCTGTCGGCCGTCATTTTTGTGCAGGCAAAACCGACTTTCATCGGTGAAGAGGACCCCACGCCAATCACGCACTTGCCAGCGGTATACTCGTCTTGCCCATTGCAGTCTTTCAAACCGATGTTGTTGAGTTAATCTCATTCCACGGAATGGTCGATAGGAACGTATTCCACCTGCTCTCAAACGTCTGAGGACAGTCCTTCGACTGATGCGACGTCCCAACGCTGTTTCGGCCGTTGACGTTGCCGTAACAAATCGATTTCGGAGGTGTATCAGGCGTATATGGTGATCTCCTATATCTGACATCCCTATGGCCCTCTCTCTCTGTTCTGGCGTCAGTCGTGGCATACTTTTGATGTGTTTTTAGCAGCTGTGATATGACGGGACCGATGCATCGCATTTATACCGAAATTTTGCACGTGCAATATGAGCTAGGAGCATGGAACATGCTTTCCACATTTGTGACGTCATCACTCTCACCTTTCGAACGTGTTGCGTTTTGGCGGTGTATTTCCCTTCCCAGTAGTGGGGCCAACACTGCCAGCATGTCTTATTCTCATAAACATGTCAATGACAGTGAAAACAATAATATTTCATGTCCTATACTTTCTTTTGCCCATGAGTTTATTTTATCAAACCCACAAATATATCTGACATGAATAACTAGAATGTCCGATGATATGCAGGAAATAAACATTCTCATTTAAATTTCTTTCACGGACATGAAACTCCCTGACGGAGTGTCATGACGGTAACATTACATATATCGCCACGGTATGTTGAGATGCATGACATATTTCCAAGGCATAAATCAACTCAACAGTTCTATAACTGACAGTTATGTGATTCAATCAGCACATTAGGCTCATGCCGAGTCAGCGACATCAAGCTTCTCGACTCTCCACATCCCACTACAGAAACCCCTCCTTTAAGGGGCGGACATGCAGCCTTACCGTGTGCGACCAGAATCGATCTGCCGTCACCCGCGGGGAGAAGTGAAATATTTATACAACTGTAGATCGGTTAATGAAACCGCCTCCCAACTTCAAATAACTCAAGCTGCTGTGTAATCTAGTAAGTCGAAGCGATGTCTCAAATTACGTCATTTCTGCTGTACAAACTATATATAAAGGCTTCAGTCGAGTTTGTAATATTTACTCAACTGGGTTTGGGTGAACCCAGAGCACAATCAAGGCCGTGTGCTCCATCACGCCACAAGGTAATTACAAACTGATTAACATGATTACATGGAGGCAGATTATAACTAATGACGCGAAGAAGTGGGAGGGATTATTTAGCACAAAATGTCATACTGTTTTCATAACAACATTACTTTAAAAAATAACTGTATGAAATGCGGTAGCGGCAACACGATGCTGATATTCCTCATCACTAGAGTGAGTGAATGAGAGTGAGTTTAGTTTTACGCCGCACTCAGCAATATTCCAGCTACATGGCGGCGGTCTGTAAGTAATCTAGTCTGAACCAGACAATCCAGTGATCAACAGCATGAGCATCGATCTACGCATTTGGGATACGATGACATGTGTCAACCAAGCCAGCGAGTCTGACCACCTGATCCCATTAGGAAGCTATAAAATCAAATATGTCCTAGACACATAGGTGAGGGCTACAGTTTCCAGGTGACGACATGCGGTAGTCGTGTTAGTTGTCTAGGACATACTACCTTCTATATCTTCTATATCTTGGCGGGCTGTAAATATTCAGGTCTGGCCAGACAAACCAGTGGTTGATAGTAGGAACAACGAGCCATGTCACAGTGACACCATGGCGCACAAAATGTCAGGTCTCATGTCCAACTCAATGTATGGAGTAGTTCCATCATCATTGATGCCGAACGTGTTATTAATTACATGAAAGCTCTGGAAGAAACGAAGTCAGATACAAAATCCATACCTATTTCAACGCTTCGATACAACATAACAGCCATAATTATTCCTCCGCGTGCATTAAAAGTATAGGATTTGGGTGGTTTAGCCAGAGCTCTGAAGTTGCAAGCTCATGGGCACTATTAACTTGGCGGTATAGCTTGGCAGTAAACTGTGGATTAGCTGGAGTAGTATTGGCTAGTGTTGTACCAGTACATGTCCACATCATGGGTGGTGTGAGTGGTGGTCCAATCATATCCCGACACACACGGAATTAGACTAACAACTAGTCTCTGAAATGAACATATTTTACTGAAAAATGTTCATAGTAAAAAAAAATAATATTATGAAAAGGAGCCCTGAGACTTTCTTCATTTTCAGAGGAAATCTAGACTTGCCACATTTTCTAGACTTGCGTGAGCTTTCTTGGATATATTTGCTTCAGGGGCTGTACGACAGACTAACACGGAATCAGGAATGAGAGAATGCTAACCAAAATAACATGGCCGCCCTCACTTCCACATTCAAGCCAATCTACGAGCATATTAGTGAGTTAACCAGCCATTGTTGATTACATAGCAAATCTATAATGGAATATAAGTTGGCTCTCACGGGTTCAACATGATTCAATCATTATGCAAATTCACCTAATACACTGGCATACACAGACATTATAAGAATGGTTAATTCCCCATTGACCACATCGTATTACAGTACCATGGCGATTCATATAAAAACGATCACATTATGGTAGTCAATATATAACAATGTTCTTTAAGATTTGTAAATGTTAGCGTAATTGCTACCAGTTAGTGTAATTGCTAATTGCTAGATATATTTAAAACCTGACAAGTATGATGGTCACTATGGATGTCCAAGGAGGACAGTACAGCTTGTGGGCAAGCCTGACCAAGATACAGTTCCTTTTCGTTGTGACAATCTGTCCCTTTACCTAACATACAACCAAAGTGTTCTGTATTCTTTTCACACTCGGTAGATGGTCTGTAGTTTTAATGTATTTTCCATCGAATCATGATGCTTGGGGAAAGATGGTTAGACACTCACCAGGACTAAAATATCCCGAAATATGGATGGTGAAGATACCAGTTTCCATCATGAGTATGTTGAACACAGTGGGACTGGCAGGTTTCACACATATATTCCGTCTAAACTCCGTTTCATCATGGAACAATACAGAAGTACACCAGTTACCTTTACATAGCCGGAGCACTTGGTTTTACTGAATATATATATACAGACATTGTTACAATGATCCTGGGAAACCTGTACAGCTTTTGATAATACCAATGGGTAAAACAACGCACCAGACATTCTATTTAATTCATAATTTTGAACTTTAAATATGGAATATTAGAGAAAAACGCGAATAAAAGTGAACGAACCCGATCCTCGTCCCAGACTCATTGTATTTGTATTTACCGATTATGTTACTTATACTAACATGAAAGTCTCAATACATTTGTTATTCCTGAATCCAACATCCAACAGTCCAGCAGCCATGATGGCGCCAAGGTTGGGCGCTCAGACTCGTCATGTTTCGATCATGAATTATGACAATGACTGACCTCAGTTAGTCAGAGTCCGGCTTCATGGAACCACGCCGATATTGATAAATCATGAACGTTTTACCCGCTTGTCTAATCATGTTATTCTTCGATCAAACAGGCCGGAAAATATCGCTCAACTTCAATGAGTCATGCAAGACTGCAATTGGCGCATTATCGATTAGTATGTAAAGATGGCGGAGAGTTATCTTTAATATTCTTACGGCAAAGATGGACAGAACTCTTAACGTCCCGAACCGCTGAATGACTCAGACCGACCCCATCGCGTGATTGAGATGTCGGCCTACTGTAGGAACCCTACTAACTGATGTTGAGCATACTTGACCCACAAACAGCAGTGCAACTTCAGATATATATTATCTGTTTAAACAAGGACACGGTTTTATTCCAGTTCCAAATCTACGTCGCACAATGCTGATTTACTTTTATGTACAGTTTGATAATGAATTGATATCCAGGCTATACCTTTACCTTGTTGTGTAAATTATGATTAAAAGTATGTGAAGGTCAAAACATGGTGGGTTCCTTTACAAATCCCATTTCACAAATTTGAAATCTGGAAAACTACATCAAAATACCTATTAATATGTGTACGAGACCGTCTCCCTGTGTGTTTGTGTAGAGGACCTACATTATCTGTTTGACAGTTTCATCACCACAGAGTTTGAAGCACTCAAGCAGATCGCTATCGTTACTTCAGTTCAGCGGTAAATCACTACCTGAACTCGTTAACCGCATGTGGTAATCAGATCATTACACAAATTTGATTACTTGGTCCTGCAGTGCCGATGCAATCGGACACATTCCAAACAATGTCTGGGCGTATATGTGGGATGTTGATGTTGATGTTGATGTTGATTCATCGGAAGAAATTACAAGATTCATAAAGTACGAAATAAATGTAATACAAATCTTGGCGTTCATTAATTATACCCTGGGAGTTTGGTAAGTGGGTTTTAAAGAAGATCCACAAATCTATATCTAGATTTAGATAATGTTATATCTAGGTAATGCTACCTGGAATGAAACAGACTCGGCGTGGTGAAGGTTTTTTCAGATGCACGTTAGTGGACCGCGTGGGCTGGACACAAGCTGGGGGACTCGGAACCTCTGCTATCAAAGTCTTTGTAGGATACCAATATACATGACAATGTACAGCATACCGTTGTTGGCTAACATGCGTGGCCATGTTAAGTGGTCACCTGTGCGTTGACTGACATTTAGTCTAAGACATGCAGTGAGCCTGTTTTATGATATACATCTACAAACATAAACAATGTAACGGATGAACTCCAAAAGGAGCCCGGAATTCCAGATTGATTCATTCTAGTCCTAAAGAACTAATTCAAACCAAAAAACGATAATGCATTTCTCTCAATAATGCTAATATCAGCCCTCAGGGAAGCTACCATATTATTTATACTACCATATTACGTATTTAGATTACAAAATATATTAAGTTGGACTAATTTGTTAATCTATTCTCCAGGGAGACGGAATAACCTGAGCCACATTCAGTAAGTACCCAGTGAGTTAAGATTATCAGGAATTGAAAACATGGGAAGCTTGCAGGGGGCAGATTGGGGTACGATAGAATATTTATTGTTTCAGTAACTTTTATAGTCATCGACGTTCTACCCTGAGCAAGTGTTTATTACCGTCAATATTTACCCTAAGTGACTGTTTGACCAGGAGTTGTGTTGGGTCATGGTCCGTCCATCAACCTTTGGCTGCACCCAAGAACTGAGATTGGAAACCAGATACAGTAAGCATCAAGCATGGTATATCAGCATGGCATATCAGCATGGTATATCAGCATGGTGTATCAGCATGGTATATCAGCATGGTGTATCAGCATGGCATATCAGCATGGTATATCAGCATGGTATATCAGCATGGTATATCAGCATGGTGTATCAGCATGGTATATCAGCATGGTATATCAGCATGGCATCAGTGGTAGATAGCTTGGTGTACATCTAGAACACCGGGACTAATGGACAGTCGGGGGATAGTCGCTGGGGTCAGGTTTCAGCCAGGTATATTTCTCGGTGTCAATATGTTTGTTTCACGGACAAATGTGTTTGAACA